AACCCCAACTCCCAACCCAACCGGGGTACCAGAATAGACCCCCAAATCATTTATATATGTCAGATTTGTTTGAATGATTCAAGCAGTGGAGAGTCGTCCATTAGGGCTGCTGAGCTCCAGCACCCCCTAGAACAATTTTAAATGCTTGGCATTTCGTTTTTAATCTTAATTGGTTATTTTCCATATTGAGAGCTCGATGAGCAAGAAAAACGGAAAAAAACAAATCAATTAGCAGGTTCAATTATAGTAAAGTCCGTTTTGAAGCAACTCGAGGGCTATTTCAACCGGCCAAAGTGTCGAATGTTTTACCAAGGAGTCTATTCTGGTACCCCCAAATCATTTATATATGTCAGATTTGTTTGAAATGATTCAAGCAGTGGAGAGTCGTCCATTAGGGCTGCTGAGCTGCAGCACCCCCTAGAACAATTTTAAATGCTTGGCATTTCGTTTTTAATCTTAATTGGTTATTTTCCATATTGAGAGCTCGATGAGCAAAAAAACGAAAAAAAAAACAAATCAATTAGCAGGTTCAATTATAGTACGGTCCGCTTTGAAGCAACTCGAGGACTATTTCAACCTCGAGGCCCCGGCACCCTCTTCTCTACACTTTCGCACCAAAACAGAGGGGGAGGCGTTTGACCCCTACGTATGATTTAAAGAGCAACAGGCCCACATAAACGGTAGATCTACAGTGGATTCGAGTTTCGAACCTAGAATCCTCCAGTCCCGAAACCCAGACCTTGCCACTAGGCCACTACCCGGATCGTAAAAAAAGATTGTCTAAAAGGTTTTGGAAACCTTGTCGTCGGCAAGGGTAAAGAGTTGTCACAAAGGTTTCCATGACAATGGTTGAACCTTTCAGCAAGGTAGCGGAAAGGTTCGCTAGGCAACAAGCAATAGGGTTTTCTCTAAGGTTTTTAGTAAGATTTCCTCAAGCTTTTATTACAAGCTTGTTTCAGGCCGTTCTAAAGGTTAAGAGCCCTCCTTCGGCGGACAAAATAGAACAGCCCTTCCCCCCTCCGAAGCCGTACTCCTACAGAAGGGTCCACCCCCTTTTTCACCCCCTCTTCACAGACGTACTCCTACAGAGGGGTCCAACCCTTTTTTTTATCCCCCCTCTTCTGATGTCATCTTAAAGTTATGAAGCACGTCAATTAATTATATTAATTAGGAATCTTAATTAATCAAAGCTTAATTATTAATTTCAATTAATTTGATTACTCTAATTTTTAATTGAACTTACTTGTACGATTTCGTTGTAGATTGTGACAAAACTTGAAATTCCTCCGAGCCGGGGATCGAACCCGAGATCACAGAGTTTGAAGGCAAGCGCACTACCACTATATCGGACGGGGCTACACACAATGGGACAGATGTTTCATAAAAAGCTTTCCCACGTCAATTTTGCGGGAATGACTTCCGAAATGGTTTGCGCGGAAATGCTTTCGTGGACTTGTCGTTCAAACCTTGTCAGTGAAGTAATTCATAAAAAGCTTTCCTACGTAAAACTTATGGCAATGGTTTCCGAAACGGTTTGTGCGGAAATGCTTTCGGGCAGCCTATGGAAAGTGAAATGGCAACCTTTCCGCAACAGCAACCTTCTTTGCTATCTGAGTACGGCCCAGGAAACGCGCTAAAGCTTTAAGGGCTGATCACCCAACAGCCCTCGAGAGCATCACGATTCCCTCTCTGCACAGTAGCTAAGAGCTGTAGCCAAGCACTTCGGAGGGTCAAAATGTAAGTTTCCTCCCATTCGGCGGTGGCTGGGCTCAGGTTCGACGGACGGCCAACTAAGTGAGGCTTCTTTTTTTGCTCTCCCACCGAAGTCTGACCTTCGCTTTCTTGATTTATTTGTCATCGCTTTTTCTCGTTCGCTGTTATTTGGTTTCGCTTTAACGCTACCCGAAATAAACTCATCTGCTTTCAAATAAACTCATCTGCTTTCATATAAACTCATCTGCTTTCATATAAACTCATCTGCTTTCATATAAACTCATCTGCTTTCATATAAACTTATCTGCTTTCATATAAACTATTCTTCCTTCATATAAATTCATCTGCTTTCATATAAACTCATCTGCTTTCATACAAACTCATCTTCTTTTGTTAGATGCCACTCATCAGATACGTCGGAAATTTTCTAAAATACAACTCAATAATGACAACTTAAAATTTTGGTATATTTAGAGGCAAAGTCATTTTTATAAGTTGTGCTTGGATTCAGGTTTTCCTCACATCAACGTTCTGTCTATCCCTACAAGTACTACTGGAGTTTTTGACTGGAACTTATCGAATTCTATGGGATCACTATGAAAATTGGATTGAAGGGAACATACGACTGTTAAACCTCAA